AGTGGTTCGTTTTCGAGAACTCTCCGACACCCACAGAGGTCTGAGCAGATCGCAGCGTGGTCTGAGTCAAGAAATATGGACCAGGTTGATCTGTAATCTTTCACACCACGCAGCCATCTGAAACCGATTGCGAAGTGATCACTTTGGAGTCAGGCTTGCATTCTTGAAGGGGTGAGCCGAGTAGCGGAACATCTCCGATGCTTGAATCGGGTACTCAACAGAAGCAGTTGGTTGCCCTCACAAAGTATGAGAACTCCCTCTCCGTCATCCTAGCGGACTTCATCAAGCCCATGGTGATCACCGAAGTGATGTTCAAGTTGCACCAGAGGACAACGTCCTACGTTGAAATCCCCAGTGATGATAACACCATCGGTTCTGTAAACTTAGTTCTTGGTGTCCGTCATTGGCAGTTGATCTGACTTGGGATCTATTTGCGATGACCTAAATAAATCTTATCCGTTCCGTCTACTCATGAGTAGTTAAACTAGCACTAACAGTTTTGAAAATGCTGCATGGAGTCACGGTTACCGGTAAAGAAGTCCTCACACCTGCATGGCAGTGAAGGATGGGTCGCGCTACATCACTTTTAGATTTCGATCATTGATGGTCAGTTATCGTTCCTCGTGACTCAGTGGTATAGGCCGCTGAAGGGAACCAAAGGAATGCGCACCACTGACGAGTCCCAAGAAGATGAAACGGCCCTCTGGTTCCTTTCCGGATTGGCAGCTAGCGTATCTGACCTGTACTCTAATTAGGATGAAGTAAATATGGTTCACCAAATCCCACTACTCACCAGAAGTTGACCACGTTGTCAATGACAGGGACAGAGAGAAGGCACTGAAGTGCTGATAGAAGATGTATCTACCAGTAGGGAAATCCGAGGTGATGGAACGCTGTACAGTCGGAACTTAAAGTGCCAGAGTTTGGGGTTGGTCAGTGACGAGCTAAACATTAATGCTAGCCAAAGAGATAATTTGGGTTGGAGACAGCCCTTCTAATATAATCTCTGCCAAAGAACCGATGAAGTTAGCGGTATAAGTCGTACTTGACCGATTCACAGCTGACGTAAGCTGGAATATACGCGGAGATCACAGACAAGTTGCATCTTTGTTCGCAACTCCTGTTGCTCACGCATGACTTCTGAAGCCAGACAGCAAATCATCGCCTGTTAATCGGAACCAGCCCAACAGTGCGGCATCTGCTGTGCTATTTAATGCTACACCAACATTAGTCAAACCTGCTGCTACTGCTTCCATGTCACTAAACAGCCGCTGGTGAGCTATGAATTACTGGGCGTTGGAGGGTGTATACTTGATCACAGTACGGGGATCTTGCAATCCAGTTTTGGACAGTCAGCAGACATCGATGACGAGGATTCTAAGTTACTCACAAGACCAGCCCGTTAAATAATATGCGTGAATGTACGTAAATTGAATTATACCAGACAGAACGAGGATGGGGGCGGAAGGAGGGCCACTGGTCGAGCTCTGTGGGTCTCGACTATACCAGCAGGGATCGGATCATGGAAACATGAATTGTCTGGCTGCGGAAAACAGGGATTGCTAACAACTGGACTAGTGGCATATGCGGTGGGTACTTAAGTATCGAAAGCGTGAGTAGTTGAATAACCTACAGTTTTGTCAGTGTGCGTTATACTATCTGGCTGACCAAGCTGTAGTAGCGAGTTATCTCAGGGGATAATATCCCTAGTCTGTAGCTGATTAGCCTGCTACAAGGTAGTAATAAGGCCTATTTGGGGAATCGCGCCCTTTGGGAGCCGGTACATGATTGTTCATTTCATACACCTTTCGTTTGGTGAGTAACCAAAGAGGGGGCCAATCCTCTCCATGATGTCAGCACACACTTGCTGGAGTGCATTGCTCTACAAAGACGAAACAAGCGGCAGTGACGTTCTTTAGTGGGGAGTCACTTTCACCACGTGTTGTTAAACAGTTATTTTCGGCTTTTTACTAATGCAACGCTTGCCAGGCGGAAATTCACCACGTTCTGGCAATTCGCCAGAAAGGGATAATCCCAAACCACTTAGTCGGAAGCATGCGAAGGTTGTCGGGCAAGTCTGGTTCGGGAATCGAGGGTCGTTTTGGCGCAACTCAGTTTCAGCCACCGAATCTTACCTAATGCAGTGTGATATAGCTTATTAATGAATTTTTTGTTCTAATTGATATATAATTGCCTGGTCACTCAAGCGTTCACTTGGAAGTTCAGTATTCTGTCGGTTCTGCATACCAAAGCATTAGACAGGCACTTATGCACAAACTGGTGTTTCCAATTTTTGTTTCTCCTGGTGGGCAATGGCAAATACTGGCTTCGATCGGTAGTGATAAGATTAACAGCACACAAACTTTCTTGCTATCGCAGATTATCCGCTTCACTGTATGCAACTTTGAAGAGTTGGTTCTGGAATACCAAATGAGAAAATATTTTGTTTGGCTACACTGGATAACAATTAGTCTGACTGATGCATTTTTGTATATCATTTATGTTGCTGTGCATTTAACTTGAACTTCGTCCTAAATGCCCCCGATTTATCAGGCAGCAAATGAAGTACTTAGTATGAGCAATCAGACACTTGCACCGCTTACCTCACCACGACGCACACAATACTGTCAACAAGTTATCGCCACTAGGTGTTTGACGACTACCTCTCTTATGTACCTACACATGAAAAATGTTGCTTATGGTCCTAGTGAAACGGTACGAAGGACACTAGTCTACCAACTTCCATCCTCTGGTGACACTTTTCACGTAAATACAGGTGACGAGCCGTTCATAACTCCTTGACCAACTACAAGCCCGAAATAGAAAATCGTACGTTTCAATGCTTTATTTGACACAGAACAGCGAAAATTGTATTCGATACTTCCAGAGTGTGCTGAGATATTATCCTGAATATATCCGTGTTATGTTCGATGATCATCGAAGTTAGCGCCCATGTGATTCTACCGATTGTATTGTTCGCAGTCAAATGACACCGTTTAATCATCTGGTAATCAGTACATTCGTCACAATGGTACTGCTACAAAGTGTGTGTGGTGCCAGCTCCATTCTCTTTGTTAGTTCATCTACTCAATATGTTAATTTCTGCTGCAATTTATAGAACTTATTTGTGATTGAATCCAGCGGTGTACGCAATGTAGTCACTTTTGCAGTCATCTCGGTTATAATTTTGATCTACGCCATGTTCGACTTAACTACACTTTCTTCCTTCAGCACTTGAGGCACAAAGGAACTTGTGAATATCAGAAATGCTTTTAGCCATGGATGATTTAAGATGGGTTTGAACAAAGCGTGCTGTCTACACAGTAGTGGAAAATTACGTGTAATATTATCACAGAGACTCACAATAGTGATCGCAATACATTTAATGGTACCAGAATCAAGCGACAGCGCGCTCTTCCTCTATGCAGTGAAGAAGGAAACCAATGAACATGATCTACTAGTACAGGGGGAGTATACGGCTGCATTTTCCTGCTGACCATCGACTCTTCACTTGGAGTGCCATGCTATTGTATACTAGGGATTCGTGCCCCATGGGATTCGGCAGCATCCATTGCAAATTTGATCCGTCACCATAGCATAGATTGTAAACTCTTGAAGATTTCTGAAATTATGGAATGAATTTTTAGGACATTTTGAAACATCAGTGGCTCTAGTTGTGAGTTGCTTCTTCTTTCAGCTTTTCTGGGCGCGCATGTAAATTTTCTCAAAACATCAGCCATTAATTCAACGACAACAATCCGTTAGCACGTTTACTGCTTCTTCGGTACCCTACAACCATGTGGCTCCCATTAATGATGAATCCTTAGCAACAGAACGAACGTATTTTGCGGCTAATCTACGCGTAAGCTTCACCTCAACACCGATTGTGCACCAACACCTTAAAGACAGGATACCTCGGTCGCAGACCTTCTTCTGTATGTACAATTTCTCTTGCTCGTGTCTAGCAAGGTAAATTGGGAAAACGACCAGGCGACTGTCCGTTAGGGCTCTAGAGTATTTCCCACCTTGGCTCTACAGCGGCGCGAGGAAGAATGTAACGAGTGCAGTATTGACGCACCTAGTAGACACTGACCATCAAATCGATTTGCATGACACATTCACACCGATCTACTGTGTCCCCGGACGTTACACACGGGCAGTCAGATGTCGCCTGCTGTCGACAGCAGAGGCGATCGCTATTCGGCTCTATAAGTCGGATCTATGTGCACAGAAAAAGCTCGTCGATATTTTAACCCTGCCTTGGCCTCAGATCAACGCGACTAACAATGGCACTCACGTCACTTCACCTGATCTCGCCTCAACCAGACCAAGCATGTAGACTTATCGATTAGTTACTTTGCCTCAGTGACCCAATTTAAACCCATTGTGTCTATTCTAACTTGCTTTATTGTGGTTGTATTTGCTTGATGATGAAGCCCTGAAAACAAGCTTGTTCGTTACTTTCTGTTTCTAATGATGAATCTGCCTAATGAAGGAAAGTGGACTTAGTGCGGTATCTAAATATTTCAGATACTCATTCGGAACGAAAACACCTACTCCCTAACTATATCGCACTTTCACAGACAATTGACTATGTTGAGAAGTTATGGCTTCTTTTAATGCTCTGCGCCCTTATCAAACTTTCTCATATCCATAGCCTAGCTAGACAAGCGAAACAGAAAGCGTTAACAACCACGCAACTGGTCCTGGTGACCAGCGGCTTCCAACTAGGTTTGGACTCTAGCCGATAGGGGGAAAGCGAGGTATGTAAATATCCCGTAAGCTAGGGGCGAGCAACCGTTGGCCGAACGATTGCCTCCTTTTACTTCGAGAATCATTCCTGTGGTCTGTCAACTGAGGTATTATTTTCGCCCCATCTATCTGGTTGCAAATTCATTCCTAATCATTCACTTTGTGCGCTCCACTCAAGCTGATCGGTTGACCGAGGCCTAACCGTCGAGTTCCTCCTGCGCAATCGTTTCACATTCATTTCATTGCAGACACTGCAAGAAATTCTTGACACGGAGCGCGAAATAGAGGAAATCAAGTCAGCTATCCGAGCAAAAGAAGATTACCTGAAGACAGCCACTAGCCGCTTGAACATTCGGTTGAGCAGACCGGGCATGGAACATGTCTGTGACTCAGCTCAAATGCAGTAAGTTGTGATGTTTTGGACACAAGTACATCCTAAGATCATGTTCGGGAACGTTTGTTCCCGCAACCGCTTTGCATCTCCTGGGATCGAGTGATAAGATTAGTTTGGGTCATGAGTCGAAACCGGTACAACCGTCCAACTATAGAGTGTGACCCTGCCAAATATCCATGATGGTAGTATGTGAACTGTTGACGTAAATACCAGTTCATAATCTCATCTGAGGTCCGCTGCCAGAGTTTGATGTCATCCGTAGGCACAAACACAGCCTCCGTAATGGCGTACCGATGCTTTACGTCTCTCGGTAGATGACTAAGTCTGTACTTTGTCTAAGCCTCTCGCGTCAGTCTGAGGGCAGGGCAGCGAACAACCCCATGTCAGTGTTCCTTTATTCGGGTAGATACAACGGGTATATCCAGTTACCTGCAACTAGATTTATGATGAAAGTAGAACCTGCACTTGTGGTGTGCCACTTTCACGCGGCCTATGCTATGTTGCTGTGCGATGTGCCGACATGTTGATAGTCGCCCAGATGCTATCGAACGAGGTACTAACAATTGAATTCCGAGTACTACATTGCTATCTAAGTCCGCATACGATAAAATATGCCTCGTTGTAGCTGTCCATTATTATTTTGTTATGTCTCTGAGGGTTGCAAGGTTGAGAGCTAATAAAATTATTCTCGTTTTGCTTTCCAAGTCGAGGTGAATAATGTGGCACCCGCGATAATCCCGGCGACGGAGACTTGCGGAGTCTTATCATGGCAGATTCGCCACGACAAACTTGCTTTTCATGAATGTGTGAGCTGGAACGCGCCGTGCACTATGCGTGTAGTAGGGTCATTGAGAGCACGGTACCATCCACCGTTTCCCGTGCTCTTTCGTCTCGAATGCGTCAGATGTGTTCGGAATTTGGACTTGAAGTGTTTACAAACCACAGCTTGCTCGATCAATATGTGATGCATGCATTACATCGCTATCTACTTGGGTGAGTGTGAACCTGTCCTAATGATAAGCTGGGTAGGTAAAACATGAGAGAGACAGGTTGCGGCAGAATGGATGATGAAAGATAGTACACTTCTCAATGACGAATGATACAGGCCGCAAAGTGGTCTGATCAATTTGTACAGCTGGATCATTTAAAATATACTATTGTTAACATCGTTTGAGACGATACCAAATCGCGAATTTTAGGTGGTTGACTAGATAAGTGTATTATACCATTTTTCAATTATTTGCATCCTTAGTGCAATGGCATTCATCCGTAGTGCGGCAGCCTGCATCCTTAGGGCAAAAACTATAATCCGATAGTCACGAAAATTACATCCACGACGACCTCAGTGAGTCAGCTGTGCGCTCGCCTCAAACGGACATCTCCTTTGCTCATTCAAACCATCCGCTCGTCTAGGTGCGTACCCGTATCGGACAATAACAAGGTGGAAACAGGGGTTTGCTCACGAACTGGCTCCAAAACCCAAAGCCTGGAGTGTGAAGGTTAGACGAAGTCAGCACAGTTAGAGAAAAACACAAATGTTAACAAGAAACATGCCCGGAACACTGGATTGAGCCCCCTGGCTTGATCGAGCGCGTTGTGAATGGAGTCAAAATGGTTTCACGAAGAGAGCTTCAGTGAACAAACGAGATGTCCGTATGAGGTGAGAGAACAGCTGACCCGCTGAGGGCGTTGTGGATGCAATTTCGTGACTATCCGATTAAATTACTGATGAGCAAGGGGGACTTTGGTATAATTCAGGTAATTCATCATGATCACTCTCAGCAGCAGGATTTGGCAAGTCTGACAATGCACCAGACACTGGTGCTTCGACCTTCCGGGTCTCATCAGTGGTGCGCCTTCCATCGGACCTCTGCCGGGTTCCGTCCCATGACTTCCGGATGCCAGCAGATGGTGTCACTTCGCCATGGGTGACAGCCGCGGCCTAGGTGATTGACAGTTGCCTATGATATAGCCCGGATCATCTTCGACTGCTATGCCAGTTACGAACTGTGCAGAGGACATCAGTTAGCCCCACGCACTAGAACTATCCGCATAGCGTCAATGTACGACATACGACTTAGAAGCTATACGGACAAATTTTTATATTAATAATGAGTAGTGGGATTTTTGTCCTCTGCACAGTTCGTAATGTTCGAATCGGGTATACCGTTTATACCTGTTGAACCCACTTTTCTGAATACATTTGGCAGACACCGGTGCAGGACGCACTGGCTGCTTAATTGACTTTTTTGGCTACAAAGCCATGTACACCCGCACAAGATCCTATGGTACATCAGTAGTTCCTTGCCTGTCACGTTTTCCGAAAGATATAAATTCAGTCATTCAAGAACTGGTTCGTGAATCACTCCAGTGATATTTGCTCTGTCAATTATTTTAACAGCTGTAGTTTTATATCTGTCATAATTTACTGTTAGCTTTCCTTGTTTACGCTGTCCTTGGCGTACGTGTTAGAGCTTCATATTCACTCTTCATGGGTACATAAAGCACACTAACTGACTGCCTGCCTGGGTGTCGCGAGAGAGCAGACACTTAATTTGTATTGGAAATTCCGGTCAGTGTCCACTAGACTTAGCAATGTCAATCCGTCTCACGTTCAGTAATAGGCTCCATGTCCTCCACTTTTGGCAGTAACCGCAGTTCTCGTCCACAATGAGCTTGTTGTCTCCTATCTGGAGTTAACATTCAACATATTTGTGCTGTTGAGACACATGCTGAGCCAGAATGCTTACGAAACAAGGAAACTCTCTGGCCGATAGCGTATTATCTTCAGGTGACAGTCGGCCGTTTGTGACGGTAAAGTGTTGTAACGTAGTAGGTGCTATGACCCTGATTAATGGCTAAATACGACAGGAGCTGCATTAGGCCTCCTCTGCCATTCTTGCTTTCTACCATGGGAGTGATTTCTTACCATCAAGGTTGAATGGCTCTGGAGTGTCAGCTGCTGTTGGTGTTACTCACAGCCTCGTACGTCGAATACCGGTCCGTGGACTAAAGGATAAAGCGTCTGTCTTGCAACCCGGAGGTCGCGGGTTCGAGTGAGCGTAGTGGACCGGGCGATCATCGAAGTATCCGTAGCCCTCGCGCGACCGCCAGTGGTTGCGTGTCAGGGTAGGGTCGATACGGCGTAGGTACGTAGTTTTTATGTTTGTCAAATCACTAAAATTCCAATCCCTGTTTGTCTTCTAAACCTTTCGAAATTATGAACCCAGTTGGCTTGAAGCCTATTTCGAGATACTCGATCACCGTTTACCTTACTAACTTGATTGACGCCAAATTAAATTCAGTGTTACCAGTTTACTATTGTGCCAAATAAGGCGGTGAGTAGGTGTCTGGTCAATTAGCACAATTAGGAAGATTCAACTTACAGGTTTGATGCCTTTGGAATACACCATTGTGAGTATTCTGCAAGTAAACCTCTCCTATTCGATTCCCAGATTAAAGTGTGAAGTGGCCCAGTTGAAAGATTCAATTCGACAGTTACAAGAACAGCTATGTCGAGCTCAGGATATACTGCAAGAACTCCTTCGTCTCCGCAGTGCAAAGGAAGCCGAATTGGCCGTGAAAAATAACAGCATTTTCATTGATCGCGAGAAGTGCTTGGCTCTGCGAAGCAGTTGGCCGAATGGCCCGACTGCTAAAGCTGCCCGCGGTGCTCCTTGTCCTTGCATCAACGCGGACGCTGCGACTGCAGCGGCCACAGCGAAAGTTTGTGCATGTTGAGCGATTGCAATTTGGGCTCTCGCTTACCGCTTCACCTTTAGTTTGTCATTCGTCCGATACTTGGACTTTATGTATGGGGTCTAGAAACAAGCGAACACCATGTGGAACTGTGTGTTTGCTTTTGTTGACTACGTGAACTATGTTTCAGTTCAACACATACCTAAACCGTACTTTGTGTACGCTATACTGCCATGAATAAAAGTCAACTGGTACTCATTTGAACGAGACTTCTCCATGAGCATAATTGGTGTATGTACTTGAACTGAGTCTCATTCTGGCCGCTTGTGCAGTGGGCTATCTTAGGGGAATGCATTGCTTTACTCCACAGAGCGTCCATGTCAGCGTCAATTTGTTCTACGTTGTCAGAAGCGAGAGGTTTCAGCCCTCGATGGGCATCGCTAGAAGTAAAAGTCTTACGCAAGTTCCGTTGATTTCTTTTATGGTCCGCATGCATGATCCGAAAGAGCAGGTCCAGCATGAAAGTCAGCAGATGAATTGGTTCTGGACTCTTAGTTGCTATCTTGTCGGGATAAACTACGTAAACTAGTTATTTTCTTTGACAAGCTTCATTGATGAGAACGCGCCATGAGTACTTATCATTATTGAACACAACCAATATCTTGCCACTGATTAACATATGCGTGCTATTATTGTACATGATGTGCCATTCAGCTCTAAGCTGCGGATGGCTGTCCGATTAGGGAGCCGGTGTAACCTGCTTGAGATATGAGAGACATGCTTCCTCTCTTCTCAACTGTGTACACCAACCATTGCTTACCCACGGTTATCACCAGAGATGCAGTGTAACACAGAAGCCGGGATGACGGAATACCGTCCTCCTGACAGTTGAAGGTGGTGATCGAAATTTCTTGATCTTAACAGCATCAGGAGGCCTGCTTTTGAATTGGGGGTTGTCTTCCCTTTGGCACTTCAAATGATGGATGCTGACGGCGTCACATTGGAATGTTGTCTAGGAAAACACTACTACAAAATATGTCGTTCAACAACTTCCGTATTCATGCCGATTGTCGCGCAGTCGCTCAGAATGACTCGGCCTTCTATGGGTTTCAGGATAATCCATAGAACTTTAGAATTAAGGGATAAGCTGTGGTGGTCGAAGGTTTATTTCAACTGGGCCGAAATCGGTTGAAGTGTTTCGAGAGTAATGTAGGGTCAAAAGATACTGAGCAATCGGCATTGCCTTCTGTCAGAGATCTTCGATGTGCGACATCCTGTTTCCTTATTGGCTAATTGGATTACAGCCTTTTGTCCGATTGCGGCAAATTTTATGGTTCACATTCGTCATAACCGCAATGTGTTTTTTATCGTTCCCCGCTTCATATGTATTCAGTATCCTGTTGTCACCTCAATCTGTTGGCGATTATGCGTGCCTCCTCTTGCCCATGTGGTAGAATATATTGTAACTGTCAAGTCACGCATCTAAATATTGTTATGTGGCTCGAAGTACTTTGCCGTGACTAATATGGCATAGATAGGGTTTTGGAGATTTAGAGTGTTAGGTCAAGATCACCTGCGTTAAGCAATGAGTGTGCGATCCTATAATTAGACTAGTTTTGCTACCAGTCCAGCATGACAGCTTTCGAACTGGGAAGCTATCAGTTTTTCCAACATGAGGCCTACTACAACTTTCACCGTCATCTCCGCTGTTACCTCCCGACCAACAAAAATCACCGACAACAACCCCCAAGCGGACATTCGCTAGACAGAGCCATCGTGCGTTAAATCACGTTTGCATTAACGTTGCCCAGTCCAAATCTGGCACAATGAAGGGCAACTTGCGGGATGATTGACACCAGTGGAATTTCATCTGCGACACGATGAGTATCCAGGTTGAGCTCACTATGCTAAGACGCTTATCGCGTCACTAAACTTTAGTGCACTATAGTGAACCTAGAATTCTTCGAGTAACGCTGAACTCAGCAGAGAAGACTGAGGGCGTCCTACTTTCATTAGTTCGTTTCCCTGACTCACCAAACCGAGTGCGCACACTACTCGATTTTCCTTTGGAAAATCGCCAAAAGTAAGCGGATAACCATGGCGACCCTCTTATAGAAAAATATATTTAATTATGGTGTTCCCGATCTTTAGGATTCTTCTGATTACGAAGCACAAACATTTGAACGACAGCAGTGGTGCTACATCCGTGGTGCACTCTCTACGGACGATGTCATCGCTAACGCGTTGATATGAATTCCTTCATTCCCTGACTGCAAGGATTGCGGCCCAAGATAAATGGATGCGGTGCTACACTTCGAAGGATTGGCACAAGTCCTGTTAGAAAATTTACTGGAGTTTTGCCCCAGCTTGCCAGCCGTGATCCCGCTAAAGCAGTAGGCGCACGGTCACGAGTGGTCAGCAATTTGATAGAATTTGCAGCCTCAGCAAATCCTTTCTCCCCACATTTTCTCGGAGAAACCGACACAACAGCACACGTGACACCAGACAGGATGGAGCAAGGCACGAAATAACATCCTGATTTAGAAGATTGTGAGGTTATGCAGCCGGAATGAAAATCATAAACCGACGACCTAACAAAAAACAAGCGATGACCGACCACCTAACTGTCGGATTGGAACCAAAAGCGAATTTAACATACATCAACCCACTTCTAACTTCTAAAACACTATCCTGTTTGTAGCCTAACGCCCAAGACCAATGTCTTAAGCTGGCCGAACTTAGAGAGCTTCATCTCTCACGACCGAGAGAGCTAATCTTGATTACAGACACCTAGTTAAAAGTTGGGATAATCGACTCTGAGATCAATTTATCCGGTTGGTCACTGTTTCTGAACGCTTGACTTAAGTTTTGTGGTCCAATACTTTATTAAAAAGCTAACCTCCTATGGGAACTCATTGATCATCCAGAAATCCGCACCCTTAATTCGCTTTGGTGCCGGCTGTGGCTGCGGAACAAGGACACATGCCTTATAGCCGTACTTTACCGTCTACAAAACTCAATGTCGGAAATGGACTGCAATCCGAATTACGTCTCGACGTTTGCGCCTTAGTGAGTCTGTAGTATTCTTAGTGTATTAAACTAGTACCACGCCAGTAACGAAGATCTACAAATAGGGGAAGGAAAAGAGTGTTGGACGAAATCGGTTATTGAGGAACTCAAACGCGATGGAAATGCTTTAGGTGGAAATCAGTTAAGCACAAAAATCACACACAATATTTGCACCGCAATCACTTTAGGCGATCGCACATATGCACACAGGTCGCAGTTACTTTGCAGCGATCACGCACGCAGTCAAACTCCAATCCATAATATAGAATGTCTTCATATGGTGAACTGGATGTCGGACAAGTGAGAAGTGTAACGCCAGACAGTCATGTGTTAAACTCGCAATCGGGCAACAGGCATGAATCACTGCAGCCGCGCATACGCCCCTGAATTCAGTTACTAACTCATGCGCATAAACTATCACGAAGTCACACAGCCACATTCTTGTCGCTGGAGCCTTTACCGTGCGCAACTTGGAAACACCAGAAACCGATGGTGCGGTTTAGAGGCTGTTTACAGGGGCTAATTTCGAGCCACCCACTGTTCTATCACGCAGCCTGTTAACAGGCCGTCGATACTTGATCTTGTGCTCACCAACGAAGAACTCATGTTTACGGAATAATTACAAGCACACCATTGGGTCGCGGTGACCATGTTACTCTCCTGTGTGACCAAATATGCCATACGGAGTATCCTGAGGCGGAGAACGATGAAGCATATACTATCACGCAATGCAACGCGTTATCGAAACTTGTTAAGGAGAAATCTTATACTACCATCCCTGGATACCCCCCAGGTGTCACCTTAGAAACGTTCAAAGAGATGTTTAGCACACTGTGGCACAAACATCGGGACAGAAACCCATCCACCGTCTAACAAAAGCAAGTCATTTCTAAGGAGCAGTGGAGGTAAATATATGTTCCTGAGGGATTCGGCATCACGAGCTCACAAGGGCTGCCGAAATGCCAAAACCTGCACTGTATACGTGGCACAGCGTAACTACTGTGTGAAATTGATCCTCAAGGACAAGGTGATGTCTCAGCAGGAGTTAATGAATCGATTATGCACGAACGGCAAACTCTTATACAGGCACCTTAATAGCCATCGTAATGGGAAACGCGGGATCCCAGCACTGGCCACGACTGATAGGTGCAGGCGGTCAGCAATGAAAGCAGCCGATCTCTTACGTTTTCCTTACTCATATATGTGCCATCGGGTAACGAGCCTAAGTATTCGCCTCATTTCTATTAATCTGCCGTTAGGTTTATCCAACATTACCTACACTGCAGAAATTTTATTGAAGTTGTTATCCATGCGTACTCACAATTCTCCTGGAGTAGATAGCATTCAACCGCAGGCCCTGCAGGCATCAGCCAGTGAACCAACATAATCACTGGCCATTTCCCATCGGAGCTGTCTGGAGGAATACAAAATTCCACCAATAGGGAAGCGAGGAGTCATCACTCTAATTTATAATGGAGGTAGTCACACTCTCTCCACTCACTCACCAATTACCATCCGATAACGTTGCTTCCAGTGTTTTCCAAACTTATGGAATCAATCATCGTGGATGCTAGGATACAGCACCTGGAAAAGCACTGCTTAATATCCCCGGAGCGACATGACTTCCTACCAAATCGCTTATGTATTTGTAACGTGTTAAGTGCACGGAGCAGGTAAAGAGGGTTTCAATGACCTCTACCAAGGCTTCTCAACATTTTTTGATCCCTTAGACTATCGAATTCTCCTTTACAAGCTTCGGAATTACGGCATTGGCGACCCATGCCTTGGTTGAATAAGCAATTTTCTACATGATCGGTTTGAGGTGAGAGTCCCGAACTACGTATACCGCCGTTCGCTGGAACTTAGTGACAATATCAAGCTCAGACAACTGTCTGAAACTGTGTGAACAATACAGTTGTCTAGATTATCGACGGAAGTACCATTCGCGTTTGTCAAGCCTGGAACCCTCTCCC